CTGACGTCTGCCGCGTTTGGGGTTTGGGGCAACAACGCACGGACAAAAATAAACCCACGCGCACATTCGTCGCGCAACATTAAACACCTCGCCTGCCTAATGGCATGCAATAATTACACCCGTGCCCCCCCCCCCCGACCCCCTTCAAGGTGACGCCAAAAAAATTTGCCCCAAGGCCTCCCCCTGGCCCCCATTCATCGCCCTGACTCGGGAACCACGGCGGACGCCGGCGTGAAAATCTTCACGGAGCCCTTCGAAGAGCAATTAGCTCATTGAAAGCGGCGATTATTTAATTATGTTTAATTTTTATTATTTTATTATTTCCCTTCTACGTGACTTTACCGAAAGAACCAAGAAGATGAATCCCTGCAGTCACGAAAGCTTTAAATCGAAAGATTCTTGTCTTGTTATTTTTCAGCACAACATCAAATACACCCCGACGGACACACATATTTCTGCCCCGATCCAATTGTGCGCCCTCCTCCACCCCAGCGCAGTATCTGTGTCCACGGGCGTAGCTGCGGCGAGGAGCCAGACGGGTCGTCGTTCCGCAGGACCGCGTGGGATACGGTCACGCATTTGGGAGTGCATTCAGCAGTGGATAGATAACGGCCGACGATGTTAAATAACGTATCGATGTGTTCTGCTGTGATATTTAATATTTTCCAGAATTTAGAGAGAATATTTCGTACAAGTGATGCCGATCAAAGCGGACGCTGCACGATGGCCTATTGTGCCACTAACCGTACTACGCCTTAAACCCACCGCAGCTGATGTACTCGTGGATTGACATTTTTGTTTCAGTGGAAAATCATATATAACCTTTAGAGTCGTCAACAAAAACGCTGCCTTGCTTCAGTAATTACATTTTCCGCGGGAAAAAAACAGGGAAGCAATAAGAAATACTTTTCTCCGTTCACCGTTCACATAATTGGGAGCATTTGTTGTGTGCCACGTTTAGGAACATTTACGTGCAATAATGAAAAGCGATTTCTTGTTTTCCTCCTCGCCATCAATTACCATGTTAGCACCGTCGCAACTGAAATCACATAATTACGGTATCTCCATAAACATCACCACCCTAACGAGGCTAGCATCACAATTCTAACGAGGGTAGCATCACCATCCTAACGAGGGTGGCATCACCATCCTAACGAGGGTAGCATCACAATTCTAACGAGGGTAGCATCACCATCCTAACGAGGGTAGCATCACCATCCTAACGAGGGTAGCATCACCATCCTAACGAGGCTAGCTGAAGCCGAAACACTGTGGTCTTAATCTGGATTTACTCCATTGGATTCGGTAAGAGCAGCAGCAGCAGCGTCATCATCATCATTGCACTTTCTCAACCCATTTTTTTATGGAAAAGCTGATCCGCAAGAAAGTACATTTGCAACGTCGTGATCCATTATTATTATTATCATCTTTACCAAAAGAACCAAAGAGTTTTAAGTACATTTGAACGTAAACCCTGAAACTGCCCACATTATTCCGGAGCCTGCCACCCCAGTGGGGTCGTTGTTTTATTGCTGGCCTGAGCCTTCAGGTACAATTATAATTATCAGAGTTAATTGAATGATTTACAGGTCTCCCAAGCATATTTGCATAGAATCTATTAGCGGAGGCTGGCAAAGCACCCTTTCGAAGCTAAGAGGATTATGCCAATCAGTTATCGAGACAAGCTGGCCTGACGCCAACAAGGGGGAGAGTTATTGTCTCCGAGTCGGGTTTGCCGCAGGGCAATATAAATTGGCTGGCGAGCTTTCGGCAATAGAAGTTTGAGATGAATCTTGACAGCCCCCCTTGTCAAATCGAGGGCAGTGACTCAAAAGTCGATTTGTTACGCGACATCTCCCCGTGCGCTTTCTGGTTGTGCCGCGTGCAGTTTACCGCTTCGCTACAAACCGCCGTGAGCTCCTCCGGCAACCGAAATTTTCGCGTACGACAGCGACGGCCTACAGGAACTGAATTTCAGTTTTCCGGAGAAAACTCTCGGGGCACGAGGAGGGAAACATCAAGACATTATTGTTGCAAGGCAGCACCACGGCACGGCCGGCACGCAGCCCGAACGCACACATCGCAGAGACGTGCGATGCCAGTTTGGCATCGAGAAGAGCACGCCTATTCTTGGTTCTATCGGTAAAGTCACGTAGAAGGGAAATAATAAAATAATTAAAAAATGTCGTACTGTCGCACTCACGTGAATAACAGCTTCATGGATGTTGCACGGTTGTTTTAACTCAATCCTCCAATTTTCCCCCTGTGACATAGATTAACCGTTTCCCCAGGGGTGGCAGTGGACGGTGGGATGGTTTTGCCCCGATGTCCTGGAGGCACAGATAACTAAATTTGGCAACGGCTTGCCTGCTTCCCCGTGCCGGGCGCTTGTTTAGGAGCTGAAGAGTTACATTCCTAATTCGGTTGACAATACTCCACGCAGAACAAATAGGCCGCTGTATCTTAATTATTGTGATTACCCAGCCACGCGCCATATCGCAAGGACACACACTGGGCGAGATGCGTATAATATAACATAACCGCAAAAAACTACGTAGCAGTGTCCTGTTAGTTATTTCGCCAAAAAGTTTCTCTACCCGAGGCTGATAAAACAACGGACAGCTGGTAAAGTTAACACGGTGGGGGGGGGGGGGGGGGGCAGAAAGCACGCTAAGAAAAGACAAACAGCGTGGGTAGGTGGGCCGGAAGAGATGCGTATGAACTGTCAACTACCACATACAGCAGTCGCGTGAACATCCATGCGGCGGGGAAGTCTCGAGCATTTAATAATAGGGCTTTTCCCCTTCTTCTTGGTTCTTTAGGTAAAGTCACGTAGAAGGACCTTCTACGTGACTTTACCGAAAGAACCAAGAAGATTAATCCCTGCAGTCACGAAAGCTTCAAATCGAAAAAGGGTTTTTTCCATTTTTTCTGGCAACAAAACTGAAACCTTTTTACAAGGATTCATGTCTGCATTAACCACAATACTTGCAGTCAAAATGCAGAAAAAAACACACTATGATAATATGTGCATTGTCCTTGAAACTGAATGGTCCACACCAGAGACAGCTTTCTTTTGAGCCTCGTCTCAAACGGTGTTAGACCAGATGACGCCAAAAGGCGTCCAGCACAAAGACAATGCCACTATCAAAGTAATGAGGGCTCGTGGTGACCAACCATCTACATCATTAGACCTCCTTTGCCAGTACCAAAAAATTACAATAGAGGTTTTTCCCCTTTTTTTCTGGCAACAAAACCGAAACCTATTATTACATATGTGTCAGTTTATTATTGAAATATTATATTTTGGTACTGGCAAAGGAGGTCTCGGGCATTTGGCGACCATATCTCTCTTGGATGTGACTCACAGGGTTGTGCCACGTCTCGAAGAAATCTCCGAGAGAGTGGCAGCGTGGCACGCTACACGCCCGCGGTGCAACCCAAACAACGCGCGGACGGAGCGACGCAGCGTGGCAGAACCGCGAAAACCCGCGCAGCAGATTTGAGCGACTGGCTGGGGACAGCGCCGCAGACTTCAAAATGCAACCTCAGACAGAGAATAAAAAAAAAGAAAATCCACGTTCGTAATGATACACAGGAGGGAATAATTATCAGACGTTTTAGAATACGCTGTGACAATGTGCACGGTACGAACTTCACCCATCGCCATCCCAAGTGTGGATACAAAAGAAAAAGCCAGTGCGTCCGAGTACATCCGACAACGTGGCTACTTTACGAGCATTTTCTCCCTCATCAAGAAAGCAGGAAAACGTGATTTAGATGCAAATTATAGTCCTAAATGATTGACACGCTATGCCCAAGTAAACAGGTACTCCATTATTACACTAATGATTGCACACAAGTGTGTGAAATGTACATCCGGAATTGCGGAATTTCCCTGGTGTAAAAACGTATACATCTACTGGACTATTTTAGGCTTCTGAGTGCAGAGCCCGTAACATATATTACTGCCATTATTCTTTAACAAACACAGTAAAACCTTGGATTGCGAGCATAATTCGTTCCGGAAACGTGTTGTAATCCAAAGCACTCGCATATCAGTTGCGATCACGTGACGCTCGGCAGACAAAGCGTATACACGCACTACTCGTATTGCAAGACCTCGCTCCTTTATCAAATGAATATTTATTAAAAAATTTGCTCGTCTTGCAAAACACTCGCAGACCAAGTTACTCGCAATCTAAGGTTTTACTGTAATGCCCAATGAGAAAAAGAATACGTGTATATATAAGGAGTTAACATCGCAAGCAATGCCCCTTCATACTCGGAGTGGTGGTATACCCTGCAGCTCAAGTTAAAGACGGCACCAAACTTTACCGCTCACAGTATCGCACATCGGGCAAGTAAAAATGTTGAAAACCGATTAAGAATAAGTCGCGCACACGCCGTGGATTAAGTAATGATTCCCAACATGCTCTTTTCAGTGTTCAGATACATTTAATTAGCAGAATAGAAGCTGGCGGCAGAGCCGTCAGGGCGGGAAAAAAAAACCACGCTTTCATAATTGAAAATACGCAGAAGACATGGAACATTTTGGCAATGTTGGTCCAACGGTTCCAACCAAATGCCAACATTAGCCGAATGTTGTTGCCATGTTTACTCGGTAGTCCTGTTTGGTCTGGTTTGTATTCGGCAACCCTTCGATCAATTTGGGCAGTTTTTTATACGACAGGGTGAGTCCAAAATAGCAACACAACCTTTATTTGTTTCACGAAAGTTTAACTCGTAATGGAATTGTCCTTTAGCGCTCGAGTCACCGAGGCCCCCTTCCGCTACAGGTGGACAGACGCATGGACGGACGAGCAAACGCATTCGCCACCTTCAACCCTTCTTTGGAAAGCGTTCACGAAAACACGCTGCATGCCCAAAGCGATCGATCTATAACCCCGTTAATTCTTAATCACCGGCGGCAGCGGCGGCGGCGGGTGGTGGCGCTGACGCCGGCAGCAAACGGGGCGCAGGTTAAATTGAAGCCTCACCTTCCTCGACGTCGTTCCGGGCGGCCGCCTCCAGGAGGGTGACGCTGGGCGTGAAGCGCAGGCCGAGCTGCTGCCCTCCGTCCCTGCCCTTTTTTGCCGCCCTTCTTCGCCTTCTTGGCCGAGCCGCCTGGACTTTTTCTTGGTGCCCTTGCTCTGCTCCTCCTTGTCGTACTGCATCCAGCGTCGCACCTGCTGGACCCTCTCGCGCTGTGCGGCGCGCGCTCTCTCCTGCCCCGAGCCGCGTGGCATCGCAGCTGCAGCCTCCCCAACCTCGCTTGCCGAAATCATGGCTTTATACGAGGGGCGTTTTTTTTTTCTCGTGCGTTCAAATCCCCGCCTCGAAATTCAACTCCGCCTCCCCCCGTGGAGTTTTTTTTTCCGAATTCTTCTTCTTTCGTCGCTCTTTACGTCACCCACTCCCCCGGTTGTTGGCCGTTGCCGCCGTCGCCGGTACGGTTCGTTAACGTCGCGCGGTTTTTGTTGTCGCTGCTGTGATTATTGTATGCGTCCTTGTGCCAGGATTCTTGCTTTGGCTGTCATTGTTCGAACAGAGCTGGGCACTGCGCCCACATCCCACCGTCCATAATCACCCTGTCCCCCCCACTCTTTGCGAACGTGCCAACCACGATGTAGCGCTCAACTGCTGGAGTGCCCTATTCCCGTCGGCCTCCCCACTGCACCAAGCCCATCCAATTCAATAGCGAGGAGGAGAGAGAGAGGAAAAAAATCACTGCTAGCCGGCGGCGATTTAATTAACCATTTACTAGCACGATGGGCTTTTGAACGGAACAACTATTTTTTCTATTTTAATGGATGGCAAATTGTTAACGATCCCTGGAGACTGTGAGCGACACTGTTGCGTAGCTCTTAAAACGGGGCCGTTGTAAAATCTTTCAGAGGTGTGATGAGCCGCCCATGCGGTGCGACGGGTCACCGCACCAAGGCGCGTGACTGCAATCGTTTTTTAAAGATATATAAAGGTGCAGCCCTGCAATTCCCTGCTGTGATTAAATCACATCCAATGCTAACTAAATGTGTGCATTAAATTGGCATGGGGGTGCTATGGTTGTTTTCTTCTTGTTCTTCTTGTGGTTATTCTATCGTTGCGTTTTCAAAGCGGCGTCGTTCGTCACGTTCATCCTTTTTTTTCCATTTGGGCGCGAAGAAAGCATTGATTAGCGCTCGCAGATAACGGTTCAAATTGCCACCTGTCTCTCCCGTGAGGAGACGCTTCACCCTTCGTCCAGAGGCACTGCTCCAATCACATCTGCAATAAACAGAGGCAGGGGCGTTAAACACAGACATGAGGCGAACTAAAGAAAAAAATTAACCGCATCACGTCTGCTGCAGGTCACCTATTCCAATGGTGCGTAAAAAAAGGTCAAAGGCGCAGCTCTGCAATTGCTTGCCCACACCACTGCTGGTGGAAGGTCCTCCAATTTAGGACGCTCTAGCGAGCTCCTCTAGATCAGTGGTTCTTAACCTGGGGTGCACGCACCCCTTGGAGAGGCGAGATGCCCTTTCCGGGGGTGTGGGACACGGGCCAGATTGTTTTAGAAGGTAAATAACCGAAAACACAAATTGAGCGCGGGCACTCAAGTACAACTACTTTGTATCACAAAACCCCGATGTATTTATTCTAGATTTGAAGCTTTCGTGACTGCAAGGATTCATATTCCTAGTTTTTTTCGGTAAAGTCACGTAGGTTAAAAATTAAAATTAATAAAAGTAAAATAAAAATCACGACGTTTCGATGTATTTATTAACATTAAACACTTTTTAACGATTGAGAACCAAAGGCGTGCAAGGCTGCAGTAAAGTTCAAGGACCACTGCACTCGAGGCTATTTTGGACTCCTCTTCCACGCTGGCTTGGATTGCGAGCCACGTGCGCCCACCAACTATGACACCGTGCCAGCGGTCCTATTCCACGAGTGTTGAGAGTACGCGCGTGTGCACGCACGTGCACGGCACTCCGTCACCGCAGCTCATTGAGGACCTCCACCAGTCACCGCGGGGGGGGGGGGGGCTATCTGACCACACTCCACCACACCGGTCAACGCGGTACAGTACAATAACGGATCTTGCAAGCAATGTCCCCTGCTGTCCACCACGTTGCCGAGCAGTCTATAACACTTGTCGTCCATCGAAAGCGCTGCCTCGGATCAACCCTGCTGAGACCTTACGAGATGAGGGCATTCATTCACTTGTGGCGGTGACATGGCCTAGTGGTGGAAGCGCATTTGTCACTTGTTGTTTGGGGCGTGCGATTAAAACCCCGCAGTCCACCCTTGTTAATAATCAATATATTCAAAAATGTGGATTAGGTAACGTAAATCTAAAATGTGTCGTTAAACCGCCACCACCCGACACAGGCGATTAGTAAGGTTTGTTACGTTACCAAAACGTGCCAATTAGTCACTAAATTTCGATTTAAAGCTTTCGTGACTGCAGGGATTCATCTTCTTGGTTCTTTCGGTAAAGTCACGTAGAAGGGAAATAATAAAAATAAAACATAATAAAATAATTCTCACGACGTTTCGGCCACAACGCAAGCAGCCGTCCTCAGGTGAAGAACAGGTCTGTCGGAAAGACTCATTCAGACGCTGTCTTTCCGACAGACCTGTTCTTCACCTGAGGACGGCTGCTTGCGTTGTGGCCGAAACGTCGTGAGAATTATTTTATGATGTTTTATTATTATTATTTTATTATTTCCCTTCTACGTGACTTTACCGAAAGAACCAAGAAGATGAATTAGTCACTAGTTCAGCACACCGGTGTGTTGGAAAGTAAACCAACACATTAACAATGGGTATCATGGTTTTACCCTTCCTGCCAATAAAACAGGTGTTAAGATGTTCAAACACCAAATAAAAAGTATTTTGATAACGTTGAAGTGTTATGCAGAACTATATATGACTGGCCAAGATTAGTTAAGAGAATCAATTGAAATTGAGAAGAATTAAAATAATTTTAATCGCTGTGATAGCGATAAACTCAGCGCAGCCTGGAAGCGTATTATTAAGTAATACACAACACATATTGCAATTCCTTATAGGTGAGTCACATGCTAAGTGGCTGATTACTGATATGTTACATAATTGCATACAAAGAAAAAGATCCCCCGTATAGCCTTGACAGACTGTTGGGGCAAGTGCTGTTAGCGAGCACCTATGAAGGCTGGAACGGTACACGAGGGGGTGGGTGGCCAGCACCACGCCCGACCGCCTTTGTCTCCCCCCACCCCCACCTCCGCCTCTCATCTCGAATCATGATTGGGTTCAACAGTGATGACGTCATCCTGCTCTATTTAAGACCGGAAGCAGGTGGATGGCTTCACTATTCTGCCAAATCGCCCGAAGATGCAGGATGTAATGTTCAGCGAAACGTCGTACTACTCAAATTGTAAATGTTGTGGATCCACTCTTCAACACACAGGTGCGCTAAAGTAGTGAACTATTTGTCTTTTGTCAACGTGACACATTTTTTACTGATTAGCTGTGTCGGGTGGTGGAGGGTTGTGACACATTTATTAATAATGCGATCTAACCCAAAAACCTTTATTTATTAACGAGGGGGTGGGTGACAGCACCACGCCCGACCGCTTTTGTCTCCCCAGTGGCGATGTTCACACACCACAGCAGTCACTCGTTTGAGGCTGAGTCGACCTAGGGGAGTCCCAGGAGAGGTTGGAAATAATCGTCACCAGTGGTGGCCATGAACGGGAATCGATCTCGGGTCGCCAGGTTCGTAGCGCAGCGCGCTACCCGCTACACTACAATGCGTTAGGCTTCCACGTGCGCGGGTCACGTTACAGATGTGACGTCACAGCTCACTTGCCGTGCAAAAAATCTCTGCATTCTTGAGCTCCCCCCCACCAAAAAAAACACAAAAGTGTATTTTTAAAATTTGTGCATGGTATACAGTCTGGAAAGTACCCACATGGCATATTTCAAGTTTGTTGCATGTCGGGAAGTACGCTAAACATTTTGAACAGACACACATAATCACAACTTTGACGTTTATATATATGGAGATGGAGATAATACTGGTGGCGAAAGCCTATGTGTTAAACCAAATATAAACCTTCTGCAAGGAATCATGTCCGCATTAACCACATACTTGTGGTGAACATGCAAATAAATATGCTCTGATAATATCTGCATTGTCTTTGAGACTAATTGGCTTTGACACTTATTGTGTAAAGAAGGCTCTCTCTTCGTGTAGGCCAATCGGTTTCAACGACAATGCATATTTTATCAGAGCATGTTTTTTTGGCATGCTCACAGGTACGTGTGGTTAATGCAGACTTGTTTCCTTGCAAAATGTTTCTATTTGGTGGATAAACATCTGAACACCTCCTGTTTTATGGCCAGAGAGGGTAAAATCTGTTGTTATTTTTCATATTTACAATCCGAGTACGATGTGGCGTGTTAAACTCGCCCTCGTTCATACCGCCGGATTGAATTGAGAACCATAAAATAAACACACGCCATCTGCTGCACGCTGGACCATTAAAGACCGCGTGATTTTGTTCGGGGAAGAGTTGGTTAATTGCGTGTCGGCATCGCGGTCCAAATTTAAAAAAAAAAGTGTAATCGTGTATAACGGGAATGGGGAAAACACGCAGCGATTGTCGCCCCGTAGCACAATTACTTGGCAGGACGGCCCCTGGCAAGAAGTCTTGAGACTCGGCGAGAGCTTTCCTGGGGGGTAAGCAAGTGGCAATCAATAAATAACTCGTATTCTGGGTGATATGGTCACGGGGCATTCATAGTGTTGTACACCAACGAAACACCGAGGCATCGCTGCAATGCCCGAGTGTTAACCGCATCTCCATTGCTCCGGAGCTGTTTACGCCCGAGGCCTTTCTGTTCCTCCATTTGTTACTCATGTGCCCGTCCGAGCACGCTTATCCGCAGCCGTTATTGCAACGCAGTCATAATCCTGCACTGCGCCGACTATAATACAAAAAAAACATAAAACAGCAATTGTCCGCAGTTGAACGCGTCTGACAAGAGCTCCGGGGCCATGAGGCACTCAGCCTTCAAAGCAGAGGTGGGACAAAGTCATTGTTATGCAAGTCCAAGTCGAGTCTCAAGTCATCAAATTCATGACTCGAGTCTGACTCGAGTCCAAGTCACATGACTCGAGTCCACACCTCTGCTTCAAAGCCACAGCTGCGCACGATACGAACAACAACAACAACAAATCCGTCACAAGATAACAGGGGTGGCGTGGTGGCACAGCGGTTAGTGCTGCACTGCAACTAAGTGAATTTAGTCGATCCAGTTCGAGCAGGCGAGAAGCTCAAGGGGCGAGAGGATGGTCTCAATTGGATGCAAGCGCAACCTGGGGCATTAGTCTGCCGCAGAGGTCGCAAACGGGTTTTCATTCCTTACCTCCCGTACCCGTACCCGCACCCGTACCCGCACCCGTACCCGTACCCGCACCCGTACCCGCACCCGTACCCGGCCGTACCCGCACCCGTACCCGGCCGTACCCGTACCCGCACCCGTACCCGCCCGTATCCGTACCCGGCCGTACCCGTACCCGGCCGTACCCGTACCCGGTCGTACCCGTACCCGGCCGCACTCGTACCCGGCCGTACCCGTACCCGGCTGTACCCGTACTCGGCCGTACCCGTACCCTACCCGGCCGGGTACAGGTAGGGTGCGGGTATCGGGTACCCGGCCCGGCCGGGTAGGGTAGGGTACGGATATCGGGTATCTGATTGCGACCTCTGGGATGAAGCCATGTTGCAGGCGCGGGTGGGTTGATTCTAGGAACTTGAATTGTGAGAAGAGACAAGACGTTGGGAAATGAGTGACAAACGGTTACTCACCAGTGACTCACGGCCTACCCGTACCCGTACCCGGCCGCACCAGGGTCGCAAACGGGTACCCGTACCCGGGTACGGGTATCGGGTACCCGGTTGCGACCTCTGGTCTGCCGCTGCTGTGTGTGTAACCCCAATTCGGTAAAAAATACAATTATTTAGCAAATTTGTACCCCGACGCCGTCACACGATAGCTGCCGCCACTGGCGAATGACGTGGGGGGCGACCTTTAACCTTTAACGTCCGTTGCGAGCAGAGCAGGCGGCGGTGTTTTCGCAGCATTCATGGTCATCGCACGAAGCGGCGACAATCATTTGGGCAACGATCTTTGACCCCGGCGATGAACCGGACTGCAGCTAACAAGAGGTGAGAAGCCGTAACAACAATAGGTGACGGGAGACATCCGATCTCGTCCGGAGGATTCTTCCCCCTTCACGAGTCCGCGTCTGCGCGATAGGCGTCGTATTAACCGCTCGTCGACTTTGTTATTTAATATTCGCCACAACAACGCCAACGATTTACACGTTGACGATACTTTTGCACTGAACGAGGGCTAGTATCTTAAGGAGAGAGTAGTTGCCGATAAACATCTGGGCGTTCACCGCCATTGATTCAAGCAAGCCTGACTCTGCTGATGAGACACTACGTCAGATCCAGTCCAGAGTTTGCTTGTACCGTACCGAATCAATGCTGCCGAAATGATTTCACGCCCCCACAAGGCCTTTGGGGCGATGGGTTGTGCAAGAAATACTTCACATTCTACATGTAGAGACAGATTGTATGGAGGTGGCATTCTTGCCTGCTTGTGTTTTTTACACCGACGAGCAGGCTGAACTATTTTCAAGCAACCTCCACGGCCAACAGTGAGGAGGGGGGGCGGGGGGAGGGATTTCATCCAGCAGTGGACTGACAATCTGAAGTGTTTTGAAAATTAAGTGGGCTCGTCAGGACACGCCGCTCCAAGGGATGATGGCCACGGATGAAAATTAACGACAGAGTGGCAGCAGCCAAGCAATGGAACGCGTCAGAGAGGAGGCCTATCGAGGAGATGGAGCGACTAAATCAGCTCATATGCGGGTGCCAGATGGATTATTATATCGGCGAGAGATGTTGGCATCTTTGAAAAGCCTTTATTCAGCAGTGCATTGATCATGGCTGATGATGATGATGATGATGACGAACCATTATTTTAAATTTTTAAGTAGAGTAATTGGAAAGAACAGCATCAATGAGCCAACACTTATTTCCTCGGGACCTATTATCCCCTCTGGATGACTTAGCAGGGTGTCAGGGGAGCTAAGGGGGGGTCCACACACATGAGGCGTCATGGGGTGTGATAATGCAAGAGGGGACACACCTATGATGAAGGGGGCCCTGAATCTAAACAAGCCTCCATGCTCTCAGTGGACATACTCTTAGTTCTTTCGGTAAAGTCACGTGACTTTACCGAAAGAACTAAGAGTATGAATCCTTGCAGTCACGAAAGCTTCAAATCTAGAACTCTCAGTGGACCCCCGTCCAGTGTCAGCACCAAAATAGACGTGGTCACGAATCGACGCATAGAACGCGACAAACATCAGAGCGGCGCACGGCGCTGACGACGGAATATTTCGGCCCGGGCAAACGCTTTCCCCTAATTGGAGTTACGCGAAGCGCAACCGTCCACCACATTTATAATGAGAGAAGTTAACCCCCCACAACCCTCCCTCCCTCCCGGCCATAATCCCTTAAGATATCCAACGCACAGTACACAATGCTTAACAAGGGGAATGAATGTGCAGCCCAGTAATTGTTTGATCGGTGCCACTGCCGACGGAAGGGCTTCCGATAGAAGGGTAGCTTTAACCTCAACACACACGCAGAGAGTATTTTTGTCCGACGTTTCAATGCTGGCCAGATATCATGGAAGAGGTGGGGGGGGGGTATCCTGACTTTATCTCACAACAGTCTCCGAAGAAGAGAAAGATGAAGATGACGGAGAGTAAGACGCACCTCGGCCTTATTGGCCGGTGTCAATAAAGTCATGCATTATTGTCACGAGAACACACACACACACGCATTGACTGGATTATATGACGCAACCCCAAAATTGTATCTAAAATACATGGGGGGAAAAGGTGCGTCTCTTAAACGAGAGAATACGGGAGCAATTTTCTCACCGGACCTTACAAGCGGTTCATATACGACATACAAAACGCTTACAACTTTGTCTTTCGCTCAACAATGCACTGGCAAATGCGTGAACATAACGAAACAGGAAAACAAGAAGTCGGGCACTTTTTGTGTTCCTGTTTCGTTACGAGACACCACAGCGGACCTTTCTCGTTGTATCGGGTTGGTTCAATGCGCTGCGCCACTAAATGGATGGAGTCTGCGTGGCAATCAATTAAGAATGAAAGCCATTTACCAAGATTGCATTCCCCC